AAGAAGAAGAAGGGTGGTGGTGGCGGCGGTGTGGTGGTGGTGGTGGTGGTGGCGGCGGTGGTGGTGGCGGCCGCGGCGGTGGTGGTGGTGGTAGTCGTAGTCGTAATAGCAGCACTGAGCAGTAGCAAAGCAGTGCTTGCGGCAGCAGCAGTCGCGGGAGCAGCAGCAGTAGCAGCAGCTGTAATCGCTTTGATCGCCACTATCATTCCATCATCAGCATCAGTATCAGCATCATTATCCACATCATCATCGTCATCGTCGCCGTGGCATCATCACAGTCATGGCCCTGCCCCCCAGCAAATACAGACTCCTCACAGTCATGGCTGCCCCCCAACAAATACAGACTCCGTGCCCGTCAGCACGAAGGCAAAACACTGCCTTCCTGGCACAACCCGGGACCCGAGCGGTGCTTTGGCGGCGGGCATTCCCATGAGCTCACCCCCTGGCCTCCGGATGCGTACTTGGAGGATGATGAGACTTAGTAAGTAAGGTTCTAAGTATCCTAATTTGGGGTGACAATTATAGTTTCCTTCATTTTTTTACCCCTAGTTAATAAGTCCCATGATCCTCCAAGGAATCAATGAGTGATGTGGGGGATTTGGGGGGAGAAGGCAGACTACCGCTAATATCCAGACTTCAGAAGGCTCTGCTTATTCCCACGGTGGGCTTCGTACCACAAGTCCCTGCTAACGTGTTAAATTCCCTAAACCCTGAACCCTAAACCCTAAACCCTAAACCCTAAACCCTTATGGCTCCGGGAAGCCGCAAAGTCCCAGGCATTCTCAGACTAACTGCCGGGCTATTGCAACCTTGCTGCCAAAAGGCAAGACAGTGAGGTGCGTGCGGTTGCTCTTTGTTTGAGTTTCTAACGTAGGGGCCTTAGTAATCAGAACAGGGTTTTTGGGGCCCCACTCTACCATAATTATAATAAGGAACCCCCAAAATAGTATAGCTAATTATTAAGGCCCCTATATGAGGCTGTTCCGGCTTCAACAAACCAGCTTGGGCTCAGCGTGGTTCTGCGTTAACTGCTCTCACAGTCTGCCGCCCTCTCGAACCAAAACCAGAGCGTGCTTCGAAATATTGTTGCGTAGGACTTGAAGACCACATTTCACGCGACCAGCCCTGTTTCGCTCATGCTGTTCTTTCGGCTGCTCTTGTTCTCCCCTGAGAAAGTCATCTGGTATGCCAATCTATCCCAAACTCCTTCATGCCCGAACTGCAAAAGCGAATTTGGGAAGCCAAGCATTGGATCTCCTTTCTTGCCTACTTCATCAGATTCAAGCTAATGAATTGGCATCCGAGTCTTGACACACCAGAGCGGACGATCAGCACCAGCTATAGCAAGGAAACCTTTCACAAGCATGATTGTACTCAACTACGCCTTTCTCCTCACTTCTGTATTTTCTCCACCAAGTAAGCCCTGCAACGGTGGGAACCCCACCGCTTCATGGCACTGACGGCGTGGGCGCAAGGCAGCCTGACGCGCAAGGCTGAAACGGTAAGAACCACAAGAATCAGATGAATATAGATGAATACCGAAGTATTCCTCGACAAGCTTTCCGGCCACCGTGACACTTTCGAGTTCAGTGCTGATTGAACCCCAGAACAATGCAGGCACGGCGGCACCTTTCGGCGTCTCGGCCCGGGTGCCCCAAAACCGGCCGTACCCCGCGGCTCTGGCTTTACGGCTACGGGCTGCAAGGCGTCCAAGTGCGCGGCGTGTGGAACTGTGAATCCAGGGTGCTCTGAGGCTTCTTGGCGTTCGGGGCTGAAGGCGATCTGTGGGTTCTCCCACTCACAAGGAAGCCAGTCATACACCAGTGGTAGGTACCCAATCAGGGGTTCAACGGCCCTGCGAAAAGAGCCCAGCTTCTCTGAAAGTAGGTCTAAGTAGATGCCCAACTACTGGATCACGGCTCCCCCTCACAGCTTTGCAATCCCACCAAAATGCCACTTTTCCATCTGAAGCTATCCAGCCCACTCACGCAAAGCCGTGGCAATCAGCGGTTTAGGGTAGGGCTGAGGGTATATAGGGTTTAGTTTGGGTACTGCCCCCATACAGGAACAGTCTATAATAGGGCTAATATTAAGGGCCTAATATATCCATAATAGAAATATTATCCAACTGTTACTGAGTGGGGGCAGTACCCAAGGTTTAGTGTTTGTACGGTTAAGGGCACGCAGGTTTAGGGTGCCCCAAGAAGCTCAGAGGTGTTTGCCGCGTTTGCCCAAAGCAGATCCGGCGACTCCTTTGCCTCAGTGCGGTTCAGAAGCTTCTACTTACTTGACTTAAAAATTCTTGTATTCTTGTTGTTATGGATATGATTAATGTGGTTATTATTGGTAATATTGGTATCGCTCTTACTATTCATACGGCTAGTGCTTTTTATCGCAATAGTAATAGGGAGAGTCGCAGTATATAATACTTCTGATATCAATATTGATACTCACGTTGAAATTTGTGATGATGCTAGTTTAAATATACATATTCATACTCATACTAAACAGTATTAATATGAACATTCAAATTAGCACTCATACTAATCTGCGTATGGAACATTAGTATTCATGTCGGTACTGATAGTCATAATAAATTGATATTAACGCTACTGTTGTTATTAAATGTTTGTGATTCTAGATCATGAATACTGCTTCCTTTTACTGTTGTGTTTATTTTTGTCATTGTTTCTGTTGTTGTTAATACTGTTGTTACTATTACTGTTGTTGTTATTGTTGTTATGTCACTATGTCTGGTATAACTTATGGCGTGTCGGTTATGGTTCTTATTACGAGTGTGATTGTGATTGATGCTATGATGCTTACTACTATTCTTGTTATGTTCCTTACCATTGTGCGTATTTTAGTATTGGTTTCATGATTCTTATCACTGGAACTATTTTTGTTATTACTGTTTGCTATTGCTATTACTCCTATTATTGCTGCTACTCATCTAGCGTTATTCTTGGAATTATCACTATTCTTATTAATGTACTATTGCGATCATTGCTATTATTGTGATGAATGTGGTTACCCTTATGGGCTTTATTGTTTCTACTCTTTGCTATTAGTGTTAGTATTTGTTGTGATTGCTACTTTTCTAATACTCTGGTAGTAGAAGTGGGAGTAGTAGTAGTCGTCGTCATGGTGGTAGTAGTAGTAGTTGTTGTTCTTGTAGCAGTACTGTAATAATAGTAATAGTAGTAGTAGTAATAGTAGTAGTAGTAGTAGTAGTAGTAGTGGTAGTAGTGGTAGTAGTAGCAGTACTAGTAGTAGCACTGCTACTACTACCACTACTACCACTACCACTACCACTACCACTACCACTACCACTACTACTACTACTACTACTACTACCAGTAGCAGTAGCAGTAGTAGTAGTAGTAGTAGTAGTAGTAGTGGTAGCAGCAGTAGTAGTAGCAGTAGAAGTAAAACCGTCAGTTGGACATGCTTGGTGCTGATGGCACGGTGTCCTATCGATTCTCTCTTCCATGCCCCATGATCTTCATTTGTGTTTGTCGGGCCTTCGCGCGGTCCCCCTACTAGCCGAGACGACCAACTCGTCTTGCCGGCTTCCACACACCAGGTCGCTCTTGAGTGGTTGTGCACGCGAAACAAAAGCAGCAGTGGTGGTGGTGGTCTTGGTATTGGTATGAGTATTGGTATCGGTATTTGAATTGGCATTGGAATTGGTATTGGTATTGGCATCGGTGTTGGTATTGGTATTGGTATCGGTATTGGTATTGATACCAGTATCAATACTGGCAGTAGTACTAACATTATGATAATTGCTATGACTGGTATTACCATAGTCGCTGTTCTCATCATTATCGTTATGATTATCATCATCATTATCAGCATCATGTGTTGCATGATTTTTGATACAGTCTTATGATTCATAACAATGTTAATCATCCGCATGAGATCGTTGTTCTTATTTTATGGCTTCGGCTCAGGGCGTGGAATATGCGGCTTCAGGTAGTACGGGTTGAGCTGTATGATGCTTAGGGTATAGAACTACAGAGAGCATACGGGGCTTTGGGTATACGAGGTTCGGGGTATGCCGGGTTTAGGGTACGGGTGCTCCGGGCTAAGGATGTATGGGGCTTCGGGCACAGAGGGTTGAGGGTTGAGGGTAAATTGGAGTATGGGTATGTAAAGTTCACGGTATGTAGGGGACGGTATGTAGTGTTTAAGGTATCAGGGTTCAGGACATGTACGGTTTAGGATGTTTGGGGTACATACAGATGTCATGGTATATAGGGTTTACAGTAGGATGCATAAGGTTCAGGATGTACGGGGTTGAGAGCCTGTACAGGGTCTTTAGGGCCAGGGTTAAATAGGGCTTAGTATGGAGCTTTAGGGTATGTAGGATTTCGGATTTAGGGTTCAGAGATACCCACACCTTCGATAGACCGAGACTGAGGTCCAGGCGCTGTCGATGGGGTTGTACCACACGGTGAAGGAAAGGACACAGTACCTCCCAGGGCCCCAGCTTTTCGTGCTCCTCGCTGGGGCTGCTTCTTAAGATGGAGCCGATGTCAGCTCGGTGACATCAGGGAAACCCGAAAAGCCTCGACTTGGACTTTGCTCTAATGAGGGCTCGTCTCCTTTTGCAAGTTATGAAATGCGAGAGTTGCTCTCATTCATGCCTTTGTACGTTTGCTTCCCAGCTCTGCCCTACTGAGTCCTACTACTTGGGGTAAATTGAGAGCACCTCCTTGGAACTAGTTGGAATTCTCCATGAAACCGGGGCACGTAGCCAACACCAGCAGAACCAATAGCACCGGGCAGGTAACATCCGGGTCTCAGTGGCCGGGACCAACCTACGCATCTTGACCAGTGATCTGACGCACATGCCACGCCTGCCCTCGCCACTTTCTTGCACCCCATGCGACTGAAATGCCAAGTTATAACCGCAGCTGGTTCTTGATCAAGATAAGGCTCCCGCATCTATAGCAGAGGTACATCAAGCTGCCTGGCCACAAGGCTGCAGTCGTCAAGAATCTTGGGGATCATCAGAGCTCTGAGCTTGGTCGAGTGTAGAGCTCGTTGAGCCATCACCACCAACCTCATCTCGAGCAGCAGCATGGCAGAACCAGCAGCGGCACCAGTACGAGGCAGCACCACAACAGCCACTGCCACGGAAGTAGCCGCCGCGACTTCTGCTCACCCTCATAACCGTAGTCATAGTCGTCACCATCACCATCATCATCATCATCAGCAAAAACGTCAACAACAGACCCAGGGATGCCTCCCACTGTGAAGATGCTCACGGCTTCCAGCACGGGCCTCGGCGCTTCAAGAAAGAACAAGGATGATGGTAATAAAGATGGTAACAACAACAACCAATAGTAATAATAGCTCCACACACACACATATAAATATATAGATATATACGTGTAGTTATATATATATATATATGCATATGTATGTAATATGTATGTGTGTCTTGTAGTATTCAAACTATGCATAGTATTAATGGCAAGTAAAATCACATTCGCAATCGTGCGCACAATCACAAAAATCATCATAACCATAGGCACCACAACCATCACAACTATCCGTTTCGTCATGATCACCATAGCCATAGTCATCATAATCCTAAGAGCAGTAATAATCAAAAGAATCATCGTAATCATCACGGTCACAATTATTATAGTGGTCACAAGAAGTCAATAGAATCATGAAGAAGCCCCATACCAACAACATTCACAGATACCACAGCCATAGCCATATTCATAATCACAGTCGTGAGCTCATAATATTAAACATGAACATAAACATACTCAGCAAAAGCATTGCAAGCATCATAGGCATAATAATCATACTAATTACAAGTCAGAGGTTAAGATATGCGTAATAACACATATCGGGCTTCGGAGTTGAGAAAAAAGATGAAAAAGCTTTCCCTGTCTTTCACAGGCTCGAGCACTCAGACGTTTCTTTCCTAGAGAGCTGGGGGGAATGTGCAGGCTTCACGTTCCAAGCGCTCTTGCCTTCCATCCGTCAGAGACGTAGAAAGTATGGTGTTCCCGTCACTTCACGCAGCTTCGGTGCGTCTGGCAATGCATCCTGCTCGGATGGAGGAGGCAGCTATGGGTAGGTGCAGGCAGGCCAGGAAGTTAGTTATCGCAATTACACACGATTACCTCACTCTTCTCCTTCTGCAGCAGTTCTAGCAATCGTGAAAGGACTCCTGAAACCGCACACGCCGCCTCCCAGCCCCTAGGGCCCCGGCGGCGGCACGAAGTCCATGATGAAGAGCAGAGGTTTCGCAAAGTATTCCAGGACCTCACAAGAGCAGCCGGTCGCAGTAGTACTCTCGCAACAAAATCATGCGACGCGAAAGTTCGAGGTTCCGCCACAAGCCCGTCGAGGTTTACTGGAAAGCCAGATCGACAGGTTTTGTGCACAGGGTTTTGGCTTTCGGGCCTCTGGTATTGTGGTGACTGGCTCAAACCTGCACGAAGAAGGGGTGCCTTCAGGAGAGCTTCCAGCATGTCTAGCAGAGGTCCTCGAAGAAGCACTACTGCCACCTCGGTCGTTTCAGCTCCGACACAACCACGAGGCAGAGTTGCACAAATCCTTCATCTGCACTCCTGGTTCCAATGCCAGTCCGGTTGCTTTGGTGGCAGGGGCCGAGAAAGTACTAAATTTCTGATCCCCTACACCTGGTCCTCGTTCCACCCTGCGCCACACCCTGAATTCCAAGCTGCGACCTGCGGCACCGTAACCAGGAATAGCCCACTGCACGCCCTTGTGCTCAGCCGCCCACAGCGAATGCCGCTATGCCCAGCAAAAGACCGCGCCGACCCTCCTCACTACGCAGGGAGGCGCCCAGTGACCGGCAACACCTGCCAGTTGTTTAGGATTTGACAGTGCAAGGCCCCGGGGCCCATCGCCAACCCAGCAAGGAAGTGTTTTGAAGGCTCAAATTTCGACCGCGTTTGCAGACAGCACTGCACTAGCACAGAAGACATCGGCAGCGGTATTTCAGTATGCCGTGGTGGCTCTACAGTGCTGAACATCGTGAACCTCAACGTCCCAAACATCACTGCATTGCATGCCCCTCTCAAGCGAGCAACGGCCGGCGAAGTGAGGAGCGGGCAGGCATCCTCCGACAGCATCTCAGGGCGTCGGAGCAAGGGGAATAGCTGCTGCGCTTTGCATGCGTTATGTATTCTGGAGGCACATGTCTGGGGTGATATATCCGGCAACATCTGTTTTTCAGTCCCATGCAACACCAAGCGAAGCGTGCAGAGCAGCTCTTAGCAGTCTCAAAAGCCTCCAATCTCCACCGGTCTTGTCGGGGTCCTCAGACATACGCGAGTAAGCGGCACCTTCCTCTTCGTCCACCTTGCACCCGGCACAAGAATCAGGCTTCAGGGACGATGAGGGCGATCCACAAAACCTGTTGCTGATCATCAGAGAAAGGAAAATGCCAAGCATGTTCAGCAACAATATTGATGTCGCTTCAACTCACTATGTATGATTCAGGGTTATAGTCGTCGCCACCCTCTGGACGCACCGACACACAACCCGGCATATACGGGTCTCACCTGTGCATTACGTGCCCCTCCCCGCGTCCAGGGCGTGACGAAGCCGAGGTCGGCCAAGGACAGCGAAGACATCCCGAACCCCCTGCCCTGAAGGAACCTTACCCAACTGAGAGCAGCAAAACCGAGCCTGAAGCCCTGAACCTGAAATCCTTATCGGTAGCCCGGCTGATCTGGGGACGCGGCTCTCGGCCTCGCGGCAGATGCAAGGGGGTGCAGGGAGGCACAGATGAGCTTCCTACCTTCTCCTCGAGCTGGGGCTCGAGATTCATTCTTGCATGTATTTACACGTACATACATACATACATACATACATACATACATACATACATACATACATACATACATAGCTACATGTATAAACACATACATATGAATATGTATTTATATATATATATAGCTAGTTATCTATTTGATTATTTGTATCGTGTCTATGTATCTATATATACAGATATTGAATCATATACATATATATATATATAT